ATAAGTGAACGCTCACTTCGAAAAGGCAATAAATCGTAAGATAAGATTTCAAAGTCCTTAGATTATTCAATAAAACAATGTTCGTAAATACTAAAAAGCTGAGCTTCATTCCTAATTATTAGATTAGTATTTGAGCAAGGAAGAATTTACTGTGTCGTAGTAAAAGTTAGGTTGTATTTTTAATAAAATTTATGTACCTTTTTTGTAGTTTTTGTGCTCAATTTATTGTTTGTTACCCCGATATTTATACTTAATAACTTTTTTCTTGACTCTAAAGCATAAGATTAAGACAAAACTGTCGAAGAAGTAAGTCTATCTTTGGTTATACTGCTGAATATTAGCTACTTCACTTATCTATACTTATGTAACTTAGTAGTAATTAATTTTGGCCAATAGCTTAGTTACTTTTGCGTTATTATTATAGGAAGCACAGATGTAGAATTTTTATAAAGTTGTTCGTATATTTAATTAGTGAAATTGAAACCGAACATTCATAAACGACAGCCTGATACCTCTATCTTTAAACCTAATATTGTTGTTTTATGCGTTCCCAAAGGTATTGTTGTAGAATTCTATAATTTCTATACCATCAATTTTATAAACAAAAAAACCTGGAAGTTTTAAGTTTGCGGAAAACTGTCTATTGGCAATATTATAATTAAAGCAAATACTACAGTTTTATTAGTTCTTGCACGTTAAATTTAGCGTTTTGGTATTTAGCGATATCCTTAAACATTTTAAAATTCTGATAAAATTATTGAATTTATTAAATGTTTGTCTTCTTGTCAATTCGCAACCTAATTTATAACAACAGTGATGCTTTACTTTTACAGGGAAATTTATAGCAATATTTTAAAATTTTGTGAAATTAAAAAAATACTACCAAAAATCTTTATGTAAATTCAAAAGTTTTAGTTTTTAGATGATAAAGGTAATTTGAATAGTCTTTTAAAAATGCAACAAACTTATACATTTAAAAAAAAATAGATTTTTATAAAGTTAAAAAAAAAAATTAAAGGCCTTAATATAAGTTTGTAGGGACAAAGGGTTGATTTAAAACCTTTCTCATCTTCACGCCGTTATACACCGACGTTGCAGTTAATTTTTTGCCCTTACACAACAACACGGCTTACGTTTATAAGTGTTGTTCTTGCGATATAATAGAATGCTACAAATATTTATATTATAAAGAGCCGTTTAAAAGAAGTCTTATTTAATTCTTCTGGAAATTTACTTCTCAACGATAAGATGGCAAAAAGGGAAAAGATTACTAAACATTTTATATGCATTGGCGATTTCATACGGGTATATACTTGAATTCCTTTTATTAATATAGCAAGCTATAGAATGTTGTATACTTATAGAGCGGATTATTCTTAAGGGCTTCTTTGTTTATTACAAAATTATTGATTTAGCCGAAATATTAAAAAAGTGTTGTCATTTTTACTTTTTTTACTTACGAATCACGCTCGCTGAGGCAACTTAATTTTACTAGTAGGAAAATACAAACATTTTAAGAGATTTCCTTATAAAAAAAATTTAGTTTCCTCTTTAACTTGAACTTAAAAAATGAACTAACTTAAGCGATAAAGAAGCTAAAATACATTTTAACCCTGTTAATCTTCTTTGAATTATCAATTACCTGAAGTTAAAACAAGGTTTGAAATTGCCTGATTGCGTGCTTCAAGTAATTCATTTTTATTTATAGTTGCTATTAATTATAATGAGTTTATAAATTATTGCAGTTTTTTATTCCCGCTTATGGCCTTTTAAATCTATAAAAGCTTCGTTTGCATTTAAGGATTCTAGGTCGATTTAATTAGCAATCGAGTAATCATTATAAGATAATTCATTGCTTAAAGTAAAACTCTGCCTTCAATTCTTTATTTAATATTTATTGATATATAATATACAAAATTAGAATTTCCTACACTTATTTCGGTAAACCTAATAAAGTTGAGTAAATTACCCGAACTAAGTTCTCTTTGTTGTGACCCCAAAACCTTTCTACTTAATCGGGCAATTCTTACATTATTGTATTATTCAAATTGTTTTTTTTGTAAAGCCTATAAAAAATTGTATTACTGGTTAGTTTAATAAATAAAAGTTGAGAGTAGGTCTTCGGACTTATTTTAATATGTAGAGGGCGATAAATATTTAATGGTAAAAAGTTATAAAAAGTTATGAATCTGTTGAGGCCACTTTATTAGGAATAAGTTTTTTTATGTTATAATGTTGAAATAATGTAAATTAATAAAAAGTATAAATTTATAATAAAGGTAAAAAATAATTTTATTTTAAACAATAGCCACAGAGCTAGTCAACGTGCACTTCAGAAAGTCTATTCTCTATACTTCTTGGATTAGGAAGCCTAATAATCCCATTCGAATCTGGACTATATCCCGATGTTTACTTTTCGAATCCATATACGTCATTTTATATCATACTAGGTTCCTAAAGGGATCGTTATATTTACTAATATTGCATATGATAATAATGCCAATAACTCAAAAGCAAAGTTAGAATTATATGAAGCAGGAAGAAAAACTTACAACTTTGAAGTTAGATAATAATTAAAAAGGAACTGGTTACTACACGAAGAAATTTAAAATACTTAATTGAAACAAAGAATTTAAAGCCGGGTCAGAACTGGGGAGATAGTTAGTTGTTATAGAATACTAAACTTTACTAGTTGCGTAAATTTTTTACACATAGTATAAAATGCATAAATTTGGTACTCAAGGCTTTTCTTATAGTTCAAAATCCCTTATTAGATATTTTACTTAATTATATCTTAAAAACTTTAACAAGACTAATACATCATTAGCAAATTCGACACGTGCAACCGGTTTAACAAGCTTCTAGCGAATGATCCGTTGGCAACTGTTACATCTTACAAAATATTCTATATTTTTTTTTAAAGACAAAGCGGTACCTTTGCCTTAGAGGTAGCCGCTTCGATGTGTAATACCCGCTTGCTTGGTTTGAAATTGATTTAAAAAATTTGACAGCTATTTATAAATTTCTATTTACGCCTCTACTCAAAATATGGTTTTATAAGAGGGAAATATTAAATTTTTAGAAATACCCCCCTTACCTTCAGCGTTTTCTAGAATGAGTATTTTAAAGTTGCTGTTGGCCTTTAGTGCTCCGATTTTTAAAATGTGAAAAAACAATGCCAGTGAGTTTATTCCACCGTACCGAATTTTATAAAGCAAGGGTACATGGAGGGACAAACTTGAATAAAAGTCTTGTGGTAACACGACTAAATTTACATATATATAATACGGTGTATTTCGTAGAGCGCATTGACCAGCTTAGGGGTAGTACTTGACGGCCATGGGAAAATAGTGGAAAGAGTTACAATAAAAGCGAACCCTCGAAAAATAAAATTAAGGGGCTATTTGGCTATAATAGGGACGAGCAAGGTATTATTAATTTTCTTTAATTATATTTTTATTTCACATATAGATTATTTTATAAATAAGTAAGACCCTCGTTTGTTTTTAGTATTTAAATATTAACAAATCCTTAGTATGTAACAAATGTGAGCCTCCTTTAGCTTCTAAATTAGTTTAGAGGACTAAACCCCTGGGACACTCTCATACTTTTAGTGCGTTGGGAAGGTGAAGTTAGAAGGTTTTAATACCAGGCTTCTTTAATTTAAGGAGTGAAGTATTTTTAATAAACACGGCAACTGAACAAAAAAGAGTATTTTTTTCCAAATCCGCATCAAATAACACGTTATGAACTTATGTTCACGGCTTGTCTTCACAAACAACAGTTTCTAGGAAAACTAATCAAAAGATTTAGTTTTAAATTCGCTAGGTGAGGTATAAATAGATATCTTTTACATAAGTACCGCTTACAAATATAACCATTAATCCAAACACTAGTTAGCAGATACCACAATATTAATTACTACCAAAAATATTGTAATATATAACTTTGAAGATGGAAATGAAAGCAAATATTAAAACACGTCAAGTTAACTCCGATGTGTGCACTGCATAGAAACTAATTTTATTATTGACAACTTTATTTCGTTATTGTACCATATTAGAGGGTTAATATTATGTATGCTAAACTAGAGTTTAGAATAAATTCATTGTATCCTGTTATCTTTCGCATGAGGTTTTTCAAGTTGGCATTTGGTTTAGTAACATTGCGCCCTCAGTCAAATTTATAACGTTTCTGAAACTTTTTTTATAGTCAAAATTTTAAAAAATTTATGTCAACAAATTAAATAATTTTATAAGTATATATATAAAGTATACATATGTCTTACTTTAATTGTAACTTTATATCTGTAAAAGTTTTTAAGATCTTTTTTAGAGTCTCGCACCTTAATCTCGAAGTCATCATTTTTATTTAAGATTCTCTTAACAACAATGGCCTATTAAGTTAAATTAATAGCTGCCCGGAAAAATATCATAATTATGATTTCAAAAGCATCGTATGCAAAAATGCAGCAATCATATGCTGAGAGTAAGGAAGCCTTTCCCTATGGGCTGTAAAAAATATACAAGCGATCGGATATTTATAAAAAGACATAACTTTGAACTTCAAACGCTTCGCAAAAACGTCCTTCCTGGTAAACGAACATCTGGTGAGTTACCAAATGTTTTATCTAAGCTAATTCCACTATTAAAAATGGAACATAGATCCTTAATGTTATCATTTTTACAAAGAAGAGCTGATAACAAGTTGGTTAAATAAGTACTCCCTGCGGGTGGCCTTTTTTTAAAACTGTCTTTTTTAAAAACTCTGTATTTAATGTGTTACATGAACTTTATTCCAAGGTTCTCCCCATTATTTTTTCTTATAAAGTTGTAAACTTTCCCATTACTTTTAACCTTTCACCGAGAACTTTTAATAACGTACACATTGCAAGTGAACCTCAGGGGAATGTTAAACCATTCCCACTCTAAACCTCAAAAGATTTGTTTAAACATTTACTTTATCTTCCTTGAGATAAGGTTTTTCCTTATCGTGCTGGCTTAGTTACGTGATTTACCAACGTCCTGCTTTTGTATTACCACAACTCTTTTACATTATGCCTCATAACTTGAAACTAAAGGAGCTCATTTGTATGATAAGGAACTGCAAAACAGCTGCTGAAGAAAGAAACGTCGTATCTAAAGAATGTGCCCAAATAAGAACTGCATTTAAAAATGAGGTTGAACGTACACCTTTTTCTTAAGTTTACGTTCTACTTCTATTTTGTTTAAAGGTTTTGGAATACCGAACTCGGAATGTAGCAAAGATCTTATATCTTTATATGCTTGGCTATCCCGCTCACTTTGGACAACTAGAAGTTTTAAAGCTCATCTCATCCTCTCAATTTCTTGACAAAAGGTTGGGCTATCTCGGAGCCATGTTGCTACTGGATGAACAAAGCGACCTTCAGCTTTTGCTTACTAACTGCTTGAAAAGGTGGCCACTTTATAGCAGTATTATACGTTCATTTTTATATATAAGAGATAAACTATACTAAATTCTTGTACAAGTTTTAGTTATACATAACCAAATTCTTTTTTAATATAAGAGGCCTTTAATTTAATTAATAAAAGTTAGCAGTTCTTTTTTAAACACATTCAATATAAATTTAGTGATCTAAATTCTCGCTTCCACTACGTAACTTGTACTGCTCTCTGTACACTTGGTAATATCTGCTCAACCGATATGGCCAGAGATTTAGCTGGTATTGAGAATGCAACCAAAGTCGTTTTTTTTCCAGTAAATAACTTTTTACTACATAAAAGTTGAAGTGGAAAACTTACTTAAAAGTCATAATAGAACTATTGTGAAAAAGGTATCATTCATACTTTGCTGCGTCTTCTAGTAATTGTGTGTAATTCCTGGACTTTTTAAACTTTACTTGGTTTTTTAATTAATTGTTTTAATTTGTTACTAATCATAATTGCAAGGCTGCTCTTTGCGCCTGTCGTCTTGTCAGAAAATCTCCAGAATTGGTCGAGAATTTTCTTTTTCTCGTGGAAGATTTGTTGGATGAAAGATATCACGGTTTTAAATTTTTCATTTTGTTTTATACATTCGAATTCGCAATTATCATATCTATTTAGAACCACACTATTTAAAAGTTTTTTTTTTGTAAAGTTTGTGATTTCTTTTTACGGTGCTGATTATTATATTTTAGTTTGCTAACTGGCAGCTTTGTGGCAAATGAATTAAATCATTGACTTTTATTACTCACGCCTACCTTTTTTCTCTTAAAGTTTGTATAAGCTCGTTCATATCTCTATTATCTACATAAGAGAAAATTCTAATTATCCTAGATCGGGCTTTAATTATTTTTGCTGACTTACGTATTTTTTTATTTTTTTATTCTGTTTGAGAGTTATATAATAATAGCATATATACATATATATTATCTATTAAGTTTATGTTTTACAAGAGATACGTATCTTAAAAGTTGGTTAGTTTTATACTTAAAACCTTAATTTTTATTATTCATAATTTTTTTTTTTAAAAATTAGTTAAAATTCTTATTTTAGTTTAAAATAATTAGCTACCTTTTTTATATTTATTTGAAAAACAGTTTTCTAGTGATTGCAATATTCACCTGCTTTATTCCTAATTTCGAAGAGATTTTTATATAAATATTTTCTATCCTATTTTTAAGTTAGTTTCTCAATAAGTATAAACTTTTAAGCGATCTATAAAAAATATTAGTTTTTTTTAAAAATATAATAACTTCTTCTAGCTGTAATTTGTAACAATTATTTTATAGTAAGTTGAAGGCATTTTTTTCTGTTGCAGGTTAATATTTTAATATTTTTTCTAAATAAATTTTCATAATTTTTGAAAATTTTTTTTATAATTAGATAATTTAATTTTAGGGCTCATGCTAACAGGCGTTACTCTTCTAATTGAAATGTGCTTAGTTAGTAAAGAAGCCTTACAGTTCTCCTATAAAGTTTGTTTTATTTTAAATGTAAACTCTTAATTTTCACATAAATACTTAGTTAAGAATTTTCGTTATTTTAATTTTATTTTAAAAGAATTTATTGCAATTCAGTTGTTTTAACTTAAAAAGTAAAAGACAGTAAAATTTTACATTAGTTTTTAAATATCTTTAAAATTTTTCTAAGTTTATTATAAAAATCGCATAGAAATTTCTTTGTTTCCTTGATTTCGCTTTTGTTTACTTTTAATATCCATTTTACGTTAATAATAATTTTTATAGTTACTTGGAAAAATTATTCGCATTTTAAAAATGCTTCTAACCTGCGGGTATAGTCCGGAGAATGAGATTGGCGGAATCACTGATCCTTTTCTTCAAGTAAAACTTATTCAACTTTTGGGCGTTCTTGGTCACGTGAACCCTCAAGCCTCTTCGGAATTGAACAGTGTTCTTACTCAGGTTTAATAGATTTTCGTCCAGTTTATAAAAATTTCGCGTATTTATTTGCTTCTAATTTATAATTAGTTTTGAATTTTCTCTTCTTTTGTTTTTCACTTTCTTTCTTGTATAATGCACTACAATTAATTTCATAACTTCCCTACTTTTAATGAAGGTTTCTTCCCACACCCAATCGTTCAAAAACGCAGGAAATGCAGTACTTTATGAAACTGTTCGCGCCATTTTCAAAGTCAAGGCAGATGACGAGCTTAAAATTTTTGCTATAAATATTCTCGGGCGCTTTCTTTCTGGCAATGATAAGAACATCCGGTAGTTATACAACTTTTTTCTTTTTTTTCTAAAAAATTAACATTTCTTTAATTATTTCAAAAATAATTATAAAGATTTGTTTAAGATATATTAGTCTTTAAACTATTTATAAATATGTGTTCAATAATAACAATATACGACTTGACTTTACCATTAAAAGTATATTTATCTTTTATTTTGATATAAAATAGTAATTACTATCAAGTTTTTAATAACTATTTTTTTATAACATATAGAGCGTAAAAGTTAACCTTAATAAGTTTTTTATATATAATCCTATCAAATGGATTTCATTGTTTTTAAAGGTCTTATATTATTAACTTTGTCAAATAAACTTTTGATTTGGTCAATATGCTTTAGTTACATCGCTTTAAATTCTTTGATTCGCTGTGTGCACGTGGATATAAAAGCCGTTCAAAGGCACAGAGACACGATTATTGAGTGCTTGAAGGTTTCCTTTACCTCTGTTTGCACTACTCTGTGTGCATGCTGCCACGCTGCAGGATCTGGACGTCTCCATTCGCCGGCGAGCTCTTGAGCTTTTGTTTGTGCTGATCAACCGAGACAACATTGGGTTTTCCTTCTTTCTTTATTGGTCCATGTGCTTCTTTTGGGAGGATCTAATAACCCTCTACAGCTCCTTGACTCACGACATCCTTCAATTTTTGCACGTGTGCGAGTCGGAATTCAAGCCGTACATCTGCACGCAACTTGTTCGAGCTTGTTTGAAGTGAGAATCTCCATTTCTCTTTTCGTAGCGAGATTTTCCTATCCACCTGTTTTCCAGGGACGCCCCGAGTGGCCGCTGGTATGTCGATACGGTTTTGCAATGTCTTAAACTGGTCTGATTTCGGTGTCGCATAAGCTTTTTTGTTTTTCTTTGTACAAATGGACGGTTATGTTCAGGCTGGGAGTTATTTTGAACCGGAACTCGTATGCGAAGTTATTCGTTCCTTTGGATCTCTATCAGAACTACACTCATATATTTCTAGAAATCTTTTTTTATTGCTCGAGGACGATATTAGTGCGGTATAAACGATCCTATTGGTGGCAAGTGTTATAGTAATGACTTTTCTCCAGCAACCTGTAGTACAAATATCCGTTTGGTGTATCGGAGAGTTCGGAGAAGTTTTACCGACCCCCAGTGTGAAGGACGAACCCCACGTGACGCCTACCGAAGAGACGATTATTGATTTGCTGGAGTCTATTCTTCAGTCCTCTACCACATCTTCACTAAGCCGCGAGTACCTTCTAACTGCCCTTGCAAAGCTGTCTGCCCGGTTTCCCGCCACAACCAGGTATGCTGTCCAATCACGTCGTAGCCCTCTATTATGTATTTGTTCAGGCGGATACGGGCGATAATGGAGCCGTTTACTTCCCACATAGATGTTGAACTCCAGCAGCGGTCCCTCGAATATGGTCAGAATTATGTATATTTCCTACTTTTAAAACTAATAATTGAAGTGTTTATGCAATAAGAAATCTTTAAACATTATTGTAGTGAATTATTATAATAAAGAAATTTAATATGCTTATCCATCCACGTAAAGTGTCATTATTTGAACAACATGCATTGAGAGACGCGATACTTGAACGAATGCCATTGCAGTGCGCCGAGGAAAGTCGTTTGGGTAAAGAGGAAGCTTCTCTTACTTATAAAGTATACTGTTTGCATCACTCCTTTATTCTTATTATGCACTTTACTGCGAGCCAGTATCGGATATTTTTTTAATTATGTTATTGGCAGTCTGAAAGCAGGCTTTCCGCTCACTCGCCACTGGATCAGCACGACACTGTTCTCTTTATCTTTTAATTGTTTAGCGCATTCTTTACCGGTTTATATAGAAAAAAGTATCGGAAGCTACCAGCGATTTACTTGCATTGTTTGGCTCTGATACTGGCCGGCCTGCCTTTTCAACCGTTCACAACGAGGAGACTTCAGCCACACCTGGCAGACAGCCTACTGCAAACTCGGTTGGCGGACTCTTAAGCTTGTTCGACGAACCCACCGCGTTGTCCGCAGCTGACGGTTCCTACGTTTCTAATATTATTTGCTATTAAGTATAATAGCAGAGTGCATAAAACTATTGGTAAGATGATTTCCAAAGACGATACAGGAAATAATTCTTATCTACTACTACAAACTATTCGTTGTTGCCAGTTTTTTTTCAACTTATTAATAGGGAACTATCTAAAAACTTTAATATTATGCCTGTATATTTGCCGAACACTTAATATATATATATAAAAAGTAATAATATCAGAAATATTATTCTGCGGATACTGATTCAATTATTTATTAAGCAGGAATAAACGTTTATCGCCACGAAGGCATTGAGATCCGAGTCCAATCACTCTCTAGTTCAACCGAGGAAAGTACTTTTCTTGCTCGAATCTCTAATGCGGGACCGTTTGCAGCTGAAAGTTTTGTAATGCAGATTGCCGTGCCAAAGGTGTATACTAACTTTAGATCTTTTTTGTGTGGCTACCAAAAAGTAGTATATTTTCTTTTAAAAGTTTATTGTAACAAAAAAAGTCTCCTTGACCAAAAGGAATATACTAATAACAAAAACTATAAAATTAAGCCAACTTATGAGAATTATTATAAAACAAAACTATACTAATTATTGTTGAAATATAATTGTTTCAAAAATTATTCTTTTTGTATTTTTAAAATTTTTTATTATAATTAACTTGTTTAGTCAATGAACTTGAAGTTATATCCTGCGTCCAGTAACTATATTCCTGCTAATACTTTAGAAACAGTTACGCAGAAATTTCAAATATTTAATGCTTCAAAGCAAACACTTCGGTACTCTTTCTTTTACTTTTGTAATAACTGTTTGTTTAAAATTTATTATAGATTACGAATAAAAGTTTCCTACGTTTTGAATGGAAAGCGAATTTGCGACATCCAGGACGTTAACGAACTTTCATAAATATCTCATTAAATGATTATTTAAAAAATTAACACTTTCTACATCAAAAGTTAATTAAAGATGTGGGAATATATTTAATAACCATAATTAAATCTTCGGTGAGTGTGAACGTTAACTTTGTTAAGAAAGGGAAAGCTTGCCTCGTGGTTACGAAAGTTATGTTTATTAAACTATTTACCGCTAGTTTTATCGACGTCTAAACGACATGAGATTTGACCTGTTTTTAAATCACACAAACATAAACGAGAGCTATAAAATTAAAAAGACTAATTCATTTATGCACGGGGTTATAAGGCAGACCACTTTCCTCTTAAAAAAAACCAAGACAAAGCGAAAAATTAACGTAGATGGTAATTGTTCACTTATAAAGTTTATGTGCTACATACTGCTTTAAAGACTTTCTTACTCAAAATTTTCACTATATTACTAACACCACTACCAATAATAATCTTAAAGATTAATAAACAAGTCGAATTTTCAGTTTGAACAGCTCGCTTAATATTGAAACTTATTAGCGATACACTTGTGTTTTCCAGTATTAACTTAAGTTTTTTGAGTATTTGTCCTTTCAGGCTGGAACCTTTCGACAGCTAATTTTTAGCGAGGCAAATATTAATAGCAAAGAAGAAATTTAAAAGATATTTTAACGTGCAGCTGTCCAAAGACGAGAAAAAAGAATGGTTTTGCAATCCTTGTGTCTGTGCTAAACCGCTTTAGAGAGCTTAACTATGTTGACATTTTAATTCTTCTTTAACCTGTTACAATTAACACTGTTTTATTACCAAATAGGCTCTCTCTTCCAGTAACAGAGAATATATTCAAACGAACACTTATCAGTATTTTTAACAGTAGAATGCTGCCCAAGTTTTACTTATTCCATATCTTTCACACACCAAAAACTTTGTGCATAGTAAGATGTTAAATTACTTAATTATTATACTTGGGGGTAAATATTTGGTAGCGACTTATCAAATATTTATAAGATATTTTTAAGATATCTGATAAAACCAAAATTTTCAATGGTTTTGATTGACACGGCAACTGCCAGGGTGAATAACCTAGTTGTCGATATTTCTTTTATTACCCTTATAATGCAACTCTTAGAAAAACCAAGTCGGTTACTTCAAACACAGGAAAACGTAGGTACACCAAACAAAACGCTGCACCAGTATTTACCGACTTGGACGAGAGTATTATAAAACAATTGTTAACTCTATAACGGCAGCTTTCAGCACACAAATCTTAAGATTAATGAGCGACTTATTTTTAAAATTAATCAATCGACCATGTTAAAAAGAATAATGGAAAATTATTTAAATAACTTTTTTAAAACGCTAACGGGGCCTGGGACAAATAACAAGAACCGCAAATTTTAGTTGAAAGAATGATTACTAACCTTGCGCCGATATCTAAAACTCACCTCAAGAGCCATGATAGGTTTGCATCCCTAATTGCCCTACTTATCCAAAAGAGCGTTGTCATATAAGGGGGGACGTATAGTCTTTCTTATAGAAAGGGCATAAGATACTCCTTTTTGGCACATCTCGAGCGGCAAAGTATATAAACAACTAGCATTTAAACTAACTTAGGTATGCTGCTACTTTGAACACATTTACTTAGAAGCCTCTGAATAAGAATCTGATAGTGAAAAATGTGAATAAGTTCTTTAACGATGCTCATTCGGTCAATGTCTGTGGAGACTTAAACTGTAAACCTCTTTATACGAACAGCAGAGTCGATAGTCCTAACGGTAAAAACAACCGTGGGCGGAAGGATATGACGTGTTAATATGAGCATCTTCTGAACTAACACACTTACACACTCGAGGCTCTGGTTGTACTGCGTATAGCCCTTTTAGAAACATGCATATACCTGTATAAACTAGAATCCATGCCCAGTCCAGCTGGGAGTCGGAGATCTTTTTTTTGGACAAAACTGAGTGATTTATGACATTTTCCCCATTTCCATCATGTTATACGGAATTAAAAGGGCTGCCTTCGAATCTTCATAGTTTCGACTACCTTTGAATCCTATAAAACTTTAAGCTTAATGTCCCTCTGAGCGCTTAAGAGCTTATTATAAAAAGACACCGCTTAAAATGCCAACACATGAAAGGCAGGCCTTTAGTGATTAAAATGTCTTAAAAAAAGAACATCAAGCTTGTTGAACTAGAATTGAGAGTTTTTAGAAACATAATACGGTAAGATTAACTGCAATCGATAACTCTTCCCGATAACACCGTAAAAAAAATAAAAATTATGTTCCAACCTGAAAAAAAAGGTCTGGACTTTCTATAGTCAGGCACGGGTAAGCTATCGAAGCAAACTTATAATAAGCCAACTTAACTGAAATATTTTCTCGACGATGGAAGACACCACTATCAGTTGACAGAGAGCGGGAAGCACACAAATTTTACTCAATTCCGCTGTAGGGGCCCATAACTCACCTTGGAGTCCTTCACGAATACAGATGTATCTATACTAAGCAGCTACGCTTGGGGTTATCGCCCTATTACCTACTTTCCTGCTTAGGAAAAGTCGCAGAGGCTGTGCTTTTTTCATGACCAAAAAAAATAATTGATGAAGAAAGCCTTATTCCAGCTTAACGGCTTGGTTTTTGAAAAAGGCACTTATAAACGTGAATAATGTGATTCAAGGAGGAATGGGAGTCATGGTTGCCTTCTATGTGGCATCTGCATAGCGTTCAACTGACATATCCGTCATTTTTTGTTAAGTTTAAGGTTCAGGAATGTGTTTATTGTTCGCTTATGTAACCAAGAACTTTTTTTACCTATCATTATGTGTTTTTCATTGTGTTTGTGCATAGAGCTCTCGGGTATAGTTGCGGTATACGAGATATCTGATCTTGTGCTGTCTGTTAATTTCTTAAATATCCGATGAGTTTGTAGTATTCCAATATTGATATCAATTTTTTTCTGATAGCAGTGGTAACTTGACTCTAGTGGTAGAGTTAGTTGTTTAATTATTTTTTTTTGTTCATTAAAGTTTTATTTGGCGAAAGGTGAATTTTATCTCGAGGATATTTTCAGCGCCTTCCATATTGAATTCTTTTAGTATGTTGTTTATAAAAGTTATATAATTACCGATTATGATCCTTTCACCAACATATATACCCACAATGGTTTACTAATTATTTAAGGAAATTTTACATTCGGAATTTAACTTTGTACATATCCGTATTTTTCTAGTTTTGTTAAATCTTTATGAAAAAACATGAATTGAGTTATTAAGACCACACAATTCCACGTTAAGTTGTAAAACACTTTGTGTTCTTATTATAAGTTCATTTATTAGTTTTATCGTTAAGGTAATTTCTGATTATATTAGATTCTTGAGGTATTTGAGAAAACCGACTTGAAAAGCTTTGTATCTAAAAAGACTGTCCTAACTGGTAAACCTCTGATATTTGATAGTAGCATTAGTTATCGTGAGAAATTTTTGAATAGCACTGATAAATACGTATCGTGATAGTCTCTGCCTTGGTTCTGCAAAAGTCCTCTAGCAGTCAAACTTTCTTCGAGATATTTCTTTACATTGGTAGTCTCCAAGTTGTAGCCATGATACCTTCAAGCTTGTATATTGTAAATCCTTTATGTTAATGTACGAAGAGAATTTCGTTTTTGGCGGTTTTCATGGTATTCAATATTGTCGTCTGCAGTTTTCAAAAAAGTATTTGCGGGAAATGCTTCTTTCGCTTTTAATTTTTATGTTTTGGTAAATAACTCGTATTGTTTATTTATATGTTTTTTGTGTTTTCGATTAATTGAAGGTTGTTTAATTGGTTGGTTCCTTCAGTATCAGAGTTTATTAATTTTTAGCGCTTTTATTAAAGCAAGTTAGATATCATTAGTGTATTTATAACCGTTTTCTTTATCTCCTTTATATATTTTCCATAGATAACTTACAGTAATTTTTGTTCGTATAATGCTTTCCACTTGTGACGCGTTTATATGTATATTCTTTATTGTTTTAGTAAGGTATAAGTTGTTGTCTTTGACGTAAATTGTAATAAGGTTACCTATAATTTTTTTCGGTACCCATGTTTATAGTACATCGACAAAGAACATGTTTTTTTTCTCTTTATAGTCCAGTTGGCAAAGGAGGTTCCTGTAATCAGGTTCTTCATTCTCAGAAAAAATTTGTTTTTCCGTGTTTATATTTAATAGTTTGGTTTGTATAATAATTTTTGTGTTAAATGGACCGTTATATATTAGCATTTTTAACACGTAAACGACTATTTTAAGCTTACCCAAATAGAGTAATGAGCTGATTTTGTTACCTTTATATTAGAGCGTCTTTTACTTCTTTGTAAGTTCTATTTCTATTAATATATCAAGCTTTAAATTCTATTCTCAGCTGTGCACAGCTTAAAAATGGTTGTGCCATAGCTCCATTCTTTTTCTAAATTCCCTGCTCTTCTCTCCATTTTAGATTGCTTATTTTTGTGTCTACCACTTTGGCTCTCAAAGGGTTTAATTGTGGGCGCTCATTATTTTTAGAGAACCTTACAATCTTCTAGTCGCAATAACAGGTGGGTTGAAGTGAGTGTAGCGTTAGTTATAGCGGCTTAAGATTTTTATTAGGCATATAGATATATTCATTATATTCTCGAGTTCGCAGAGCTACCACCATTTTCTTTTCCGATGGTTTTTTTACTAGTACTATATATAAATGTATGAAAACGACACAAAATTGCGCCGATAAACATACAAGTATATACGATACTAGCACTATTACATACTAGGACAAGTCTGATCAAGTATGCATCCTTGGATCAAAAAATAGTGAGCCATCACCCATTGCTAAACCAGTCCTTTCGTCTGAGTTCGTCTTTGCAACTAACAGGCACAAAAGCTTAATTTAGCAACTTAGCTGTATTCGTTAAGTGGTTGAATATTGTATGAGTTAACTTCAGCAGATCTTTCTAACAAATTAGATTTAAAACCGCTTCGAAAGGCGATGCTAATACCCAACGCGAAGCCTCGAAGCGAACATGCTTCTAAGACAACATTAGTCAGTCGATAGAGCTCAAAGTTCCCGTGACAAGCTCGTCAGCATTAGTCCGCTAAACATTACACCATACTACACAGATAAGATAGAACCTGCCAAAGGACTAAAGTAACCGACGAGTTTTTACCATTTTTAAGAATAGATCTTTTGATCCGCGCGTCTCTAACCCGAATGAATCAGCTTCTTGCGACCTGCGACTCTAAAGGAATGAATGACTCACAACCCTTTACTGTATGAGGAAGGTACCGTAATCACGATTCTTTGGCTTGTAAATAATTTGAAATGAGTCCAAGTATCAAATCGGGTACTAGCTATGGTAGTTTTTAGATAAAAATCACAACCCAGCCAGTGCTTACTGGATTTTCAAATCAAACGCCTCAGAATAGTAGAGGATGACATGACCCGATCCAATAGTAGTCTGCTTTCAGACATTCATCCCCCTCTGGGTGGAAACCTACTGATGACCGTTGATCGAAACCCTCTGGCGAACGCAAGGACTAACGCGCCGTTTAGCGCGAATTTTATATATAGGCATGATCTTTTTCGTGCACTTTTACGATGTCAAACCTCGAGACGGAACAGTAATCTTTATGTCTAACAAAAAAAAAAGAGCGTACAATCTAGTACGAAGGATCTAAAGGTTAGACCCAACAGTCAGAGCCAGAACCAAGCCTCTGACAAAGTCTTCCCGCTTAGTAGCCGACCTGCACAGTAGCCCATGTGCTCAACTATCAAATCAAACAGGAATTACCTTTGATGGTCAAAGCACTAGAAAGGGTACGACACAAGCTCGTTCGCACGAGAGTGCGCAACAAGTGCAAGTTAATTAGCTCACTCTTTATATACGTGATTTTGGAGAATTTAATAGTCAAAAATGAGCCTCCAAAGATCAAAAAGAGTGCTTCTACTAAACAAAATAAAGATAAGAAAAAAGAAGTCAAAAAAAAATTTGTCATTATTACAAGGTAGAAGCACTAACAAAGGATTATAATTATTTCTAAATTATAAAAATTATATTAAAAATATATAAAATATTAATATAAAATTAAAATAGATCTGTTAGAGGTAGCTATAAATATTGATATAGAAAGTTAAAGGATTCACTAGTTCCTCAATGGACTTGAATCAAGCTGGAGATCACTGTCTCCAGATCTATAGGCCACTCGTTGATGGTATAAACTAACCACGAGATTACTACACAGCACGGAGAAAGAGGGAGAAGAGTCCCGATTTCCACTGGTCAAAGTTGTAAACCAAGATTACCTTCTAATTGTTAAGATGCTGACTAGTTTCTACAGGGTTTTATTCTGTTGTTTCACCTTGGTTTCTCAACTTTAATACAAGGAATAGAGAGAGATTACAAATTGTACATATACTGCTTATCTCTGTATAATTATTGTTTGAAACTAAGAGCTTCGGTGTACAAGTTTAGAGATATAAAAGCTTTCCTTAGAGACCTAGCTCCAAAGTCAATTAGCCACCCTAGGGAGAAGCAGAGGTTAAAATTGAAGTTACTTTCCCCTAGGCAGCTATGCTTAAGAATGGAATGGAACCATTGACTTTACTGTAAAGGAGTAAAGTTTTACCACTAAACTACTTAAGCAAGTTCTACTTTAGTAGAACAAAATAACGAACTAACAATCTAGAAATGCTAGCGCATTGAAATGTCCTACTAAAGTAGAACTAAAAAAAAAAGGTAAAAATGAGTTTCCCCTCTTATGCTTCGTAGTTCGTCCTATACACCGTAGGGGCTTAGTATGGGACCTACTCGTGCTAGGTGACTATTGAACTACTTCGTGTTAAATAGCACCGTAAAAGAGGGGAAATATTATTTTTATCTTTTTTTTTTTAGTTCTACTTTAGTAGGATGTTTCAATGCTTTAGCATTTCTAGATTGTTAGTTCGTTATTTGGTTCTACTAAAGTAGAACTTGCTTAAGTAGTTTAGTGGTAAAACTTTACTCCTTCACAGTAACGTCATGTTTCGATTCCATTCTTAAGCATAGCCACCTAGGGGACAAGAACTTAGCTCTACGTTGGTCAGTAAGCTTTCATGGCAACCTTTCTCTGTTGCTACTCAGGAGAATAATTGCTCAAATCTTGTCTCTAAGTCCTGTATAATTCTACCTTGGGTGTCTAATTGACTTTGGAGCTGAGGTCTCTAAGTGGAGCTAAATGAAAATTAATTCATTTCTAGTACCTTAATTTCTTAAATTTAAATTATTTGTATTTTATATCTAATTTTTATATATTTTAAATTAATATAATTTATATTTTTATTAGTGCTTCTACCTTGAACCTTTGCTTTATTTTATGTACGTTTAATTTTACTTGGTAGAAACATTGCTTTGATTTTTGCAGGCTATTTTTTGATTATCAAGCCCTCCAAAATCACGTATATAGAGAGCGAGCTAATTAACTTGCTCTGGGTGCGCACTTTATCTCGTGCGCGGTTCATTTTGATTCGTGCACAAGCTTGTGTCGCTCCCTAAACTTGACTGCGACCGCAGCAGGTTAGTTCTTTGTGGTTTGATAGTAAACGCATTGGCAACTGCATAGGTTGGATAATTAGTGGTTATACTTTGGCGCTTTTTGTGCCTTTGACTGTTGGGTCGAAACTTGTGACTCTTTGTTAAGTTTAGTACACTCTTCATTGGGCGTAACGATTCCTGTTCCGTCGCCAGGCTCAATGAAGTAAAAGTGGCCGAAAAAGATTGGTCCTATATATAAAATTCGTGTCCAACTCGGACGTTAGTCCTTGCGGCCCCGGATGGTTTCTATCTACGGTAATCAATAGGTTGTCATCCTAAGATGGAAAGCCGTTCGGAAGTAAATCTATCTTCGGTAGGGGTTATGTCACCCTCTACTACTTTGCGGTGTTCGCAATATACCTCCAGTAAGCTCTCAGGCTGGGTTGTAATTTTTATCTATCTCAGAACACCGCAGCTAGCTTCCATTTGAAGCTTGAACTTCTTTGCAAATACTTACCAACCAATGAATAGTGATTATGGTACCTTCCTGATTGAAGTTCTGAGTTGTGAGCTGAACGGTACTTAGAATAGACGGAGGTCGCAAGAAGCTAACTCAATCTGGTCAGAGACGCGCGGTTGGAAACTACTACTTTTAAACCTAACAAAAACTTCGAGTTGGACAAAGCCTTTAGGCAGGTTAAATCTTACCAGTATCCGATGGAGCAAATTTTAGCTGGCTGAAGCTGACAAGCATGTCACGGGAAATTTGTAGATGAAGTGATAACTTTATTGCGCAATCTAACACAAACTTGTTGGATCGCTTCATGTTGGGTACTAGCATTGCCTTTCGAAGCGGTTTAAATCTAATTTGCTTAGAAAGATCTGGCGTAATTAACTTGAACGCTAGATAAATAGATAATGAAATCAGCTAAGTTACTAAATTAAGCTTTTGTGCCTGTTAGTACCAAAGACGGACGCCGAAAGGACTGGTTTAGAAATGAGTAATGTTTTCTTTAAATTATTCCTTTGTTCCGAAGAATGCATACTTAGTCAAATCGAATTGATTAAGTATACAATAATCCTAGTATTATATATAATATATATGTGTTTCCGCCATTTTTGTTTCGTAATCTTATATATTATATATAGTACTAGTACTATATATATATCCGCGCCCCTCCTCAAGTTTGTAATTGGGTATGGCCATGGGATGTAATTTAAACTATCTTATTTTAACTTGTCTTAAGGTCTCCGTTTCCCCCCTCTAAATTACTGAAGAATTTGAACTTATGAGCTCCGTCACTAGTTTAGTTTAATTTTAATATTTAGTTCTAAGTATGTTTCTACTCTCAGGCCCTTAACTCTGTCACTGTTTAATAATCAACTAGTTTTGTCTAAAATCATTTTATCTTACCTAATTATAGCTTATTGCTTACTATCACATAAAAATACTTATTTCTCTATCTTTCTTTTGGTCTTATAATTATTTAATAGCACAAACTAAGACAAAATAGATGCTGTAAATGTTATTATTAAGTCTATTATATTCCAGTAACTTGTGCAAGCTCTATACATGTAACGATATGACCACCTACAGTTTTTGAAGTAGTAATTATTTGGGGCGCATAACTACAATATTTATTCCTTCGATAGTATAACCTTGTGGGCAGCTTCTTTCGATGAATAGCAGTTTTTTAAGTTCTCTTCTCTATCCAATTACAGTGTACTGTGAATCATCATTGGTTTATAGCATGGCGGGATATTCACAGTATTATTAGTTGATTGATATACATTTAGTAAACCTTTAAATTCATAGAAAAATTACCGAACAGTTTCTTTATAATTCGTCACAAGACGCCAAGTGAGTTTTATAACACTTGGGGACTTCAATTACAGGAGCAGAGTACTGGATAAATAAGTAATCATACAAAGAAAAGGATAACACAGTGCATTTTACGATTGGACTTATAGCTTTAATGTGCCTGTTGTTTTTACATAATCATTGAAAATTGAATAATCACACATATTAACATACCCATTTGTAAGAAAGCGGCCTTATCCGCGTTTGTCCTTGGCACCTTTCCGATCTGTTGAAAGACGGCCTACGACTCCACTGCCACAGCGTCGGCACTCAAGTGCGACAGTACAAATTGCTGGGTGATGACAACAGTACCGTGGTTTGTGCGAAAAGAAGCTTTTCACAGGGGCCTTCAGCTGGATCCTTTAGACATCGTCTTTCAACTTAATGCCAATGCTCTTAAGACAGGCTAGCCAGGCACACTAATCAGGAGTTAAGTTCAAATAACATGAAGTTATTATGAATATAAGTCTGATTGGACAGCTTACACTGAATTTGAGTTCAAAAGTGAAAAACATCAAGATTTTTCCCTAACCCTGTTATATGAAACCCGCAACTTCAACTTAAAATTCAAATTACTTTTGCTAAGGTTTTGAAGCATACTTCAAAAGCAAAATCTTTTTGTTCTATAGTCAATATATAACTTTCTGGAACCATTTAAATATATTCTTCGTGTCTATGAATAAACACTTATACATAGTGATTGAAATATTAAACTTCTGGTATGTAACCCGGTAAAAAGAGTGTTTAAATGGTTTATCAAATCCTGCGCACGTACTATTAGCTTTGCAAAGAATGCTATCGGTACAATATATAATACTTTACTGAATACCTAAGGCTAAACAATAATAAATAAACCTTATGCTAATACCTATATTTATACTAATAATAATAATACAATAGTATGAGTTTATAATTGATAATACTAATAATAGTACTGTGTTGAATTTTTAAAAAACTGTGATAAGATTTTAAAACAAATGTTTATTAACATACACCTAGGTTCTCTTTAATGATAGGGGGATACACAGTTAATAGCTTAATAGTTTAAGATAATCTTAAATAAAACAATTGTGCAATACCGGGACTAAATTTAAATTAAGTAAAATAGTTATTCAAATTATTGCATAAATGAGGCTAGTAATAAAAATTAATTTAGTAGCAAAAAGATTGTAGGCCAAAGAGAAGAATATTTTTTTAAAATGTTCCTTTAGGTTATTTAATTAATATATTATAAAAGTTTATAATAAAAACACATGGAAAGGGGAAAAATTAGCTACGGGTGAAATAATGTGATGTTGTATATCTTAAAAAATTTTATCGCAACAATAATTTATGATTATATTATCCATTAGGTTACTTAATTTCTTTGTGTTCTTCTTGTGGTCCCTTTCTTTTAGGTTTCGGTACCTCGTATATTTTTAAGCTTTCAAGTGCCATCTTTTTGCCGAAACATTTGACAACTCTGCTTACTTACTAATTTTAAAAATAAACAACTTTTTTGTTTACAAAGTTTTATAACAAGAATAAAATTCTGCATATCTACTGATGTCAGTCCAATTTATTTATTTTTACTAAACAGAGATAACTTTAATGTATTAAGCCTCTAAATGAGGACTACTAGAGTTTTAAAAATTTTTATAGGCAAATTTTAATCTATTAGATCAAGGTTTGTTTGGCAATTTTTCGGTGTTTCAAGATTCTAAATGTGTTTTTTTCATTAAAACGGGTTAAGTAAATTATGTTAAATCATGTTTATTTAAAAAAATTTTACTGTTTTTCTTGCCTAATGCTGTCTGTCTTTTTTTAAGTATAACCTTTAAATAGCATATCTCTTTATAAAGAATCTCATAAATGGATCACATCCTTCCTGCTACGTATGTGCAAAGCTGCCGGCCTGTTGTATTTATAATAGTTTTAAAGGTCGAGTATTTGATAGCTAGCATGGCGGTCCCTCCAATTTTTGAAGGTTGTCCAACAATCGAAAGATTGAAATTATTTATATTTTTTCCATTTCGGGTAGCATTATTTAGTTATAAAGGAAAATAGCAAGGTTCGACACGCGTCAAAATCTCCGTATTTTCGTTTATTCTCGTTTAGTAAAAAAAATTAATTTTTATGTTGATGTTCTCACATAAGTAAGAGCTTAGCTTAGTTGCTTAAAAAATTACTTTCTCCTTCGCAAGTTACGGTTTGGCAGAGAAGAATTATATATAATTAATTTCTTTTCCCAGCTTTTAAATAAATCTAAGTTAGACTCTTATATATAGTTTTATTTTAAAATGTGTAGTACATTACAATTTTATGCTATATTTATTTGAAAACCTCATTGAATATCTAATTTAATTTAAGATACCAAATTGCTAAATTTTTGCTTTATTTATTTTATTTTTATGTTTTTTGTTCCCACGCACTAGTTTTTAATAAGTTTTTTCTTTGTTTCTTAATATTGGTTTACTTTTGTACCACACTTGTCCCGGCGTTTTCTCTTTTATTAAACGTGTAATACTCGTTTTAAACTTTAATTTTGATTACGTTTATATTTTGAGTGGGGGAAAGGATTAAAAAAACTGGATTCAACTTAATATATATTTTGACAGAGGGCAGTAGAAACCCTGCAAACTGGTCTTAATTTTTGTTTTGCCCATAGGTTTAAAATAAAAAATTCTGCACCCCGGTTATTTGTAGGTTTTAATGTAGTTAAGTATAAATATAGCATCGCGTGGAGCTCCGGCTTATGTTAGTTCGGTACCCTTGACTGTAAGTACGCAGCACCTCATATTGGATAATGTTAAAAGCCTCCATTTAATCAGTGGAAATGCTGGAAAAGAAAACTTTTGGTTGTTATATGGATATTCTGACAATTAATCCAGTTTATTAAGTTTACGTTTAAGTTTTCAGGGCTGTTTGCTTCGATATCTCATCGAAAAAATAAATATATGTATACTAATTTTTTGGATTTTGCTGGCAAGTGATTGTTCAACGAAAAAAAGCTATATTGACTTAAAAACCGAAAAAATAGGCGCTATTACACAAAAATGAAGGTGAAAAAGAAGGGCAATAAGAGTGTTTTACTAAAGAATTGATATGACTTATTTATACGTTAAGTAAGATTATATAGGAAAAGAAAATCTCTTATAAAATTATAAACAAACATGTCCAACATAAAAAAATGCATTAATAATTTAGTCTCGTATTGTTAAAATCTAATTTTACACATTTTTCTGACTGGAGCAATGACAGTGCGTAAGCCTGTTTAAAGTTTGATAAACTGTGGGTTAGCAATACCTTTGTTAAGAAGTCAGCAAGCTTTTCCTTGGTAGGGAAATACTTTGTCGATATGTTCCCTTTTCAACTTTGCCCTCTACATTGAGACAGTTCACTTTAATGTCTTGATAACTTCGTTTTACTACGATCACTGGATGTATTTTGTGCTGGTTATGTACGAATTGGCGACTTTCCCTCGTAGCTTGGTCCCCGTAGCACCGAGAGCGCCCATTTCGCTCAAGAAGTAGTTTTGACCAGAGCAGTCTCTTCAGCCTCTGTGTAGGCGAACGGATTGTTGCCTGTTTTTTGTCTCCCAAGCAATGGAAAGATCGTCCGCACTAATTAATGCATCGGAATGGGACATTTTCGTGGTGCCAAGAGTACCGCTTTGTTAATGCTACGCTTGCATAAGGTACTCACTGGTTTGCACTCATCCGTTGTGTAATTTGTTCTTCGAAATAAGTAATTTTTTTTTAGGCCTAGAAAGACCGTGTTAGGAAACTTAGTGACACCATCACTTTTATTTATTACATCGCAGACCCCTCCACGTGCTAACACTATTCAAAGCCTTTTTTGTAAACGCATGTTTTAATACGCTACGCGTAAAGGGGCCCTTAGCAGCCGTAAAAAAAAACCGTCAACCACAATATACCTTTACTAAGTATATAAATGTTAATAACATGAAACTTAAGTATTTTTCCTGCCTTTTATGCTCTTCCTATTGGACAGCATCGTCTCCAATGTATTAGTTAAAGTTAAATAAGATATTAATTATTAATCCCTCTAATATAAGCATAGAATATTTTATATAAGGATCCAATTAATTCACATTTTTTGACATCCACGTAGGTATCTAATGGAAATCTTGTGCGTTTCGACAATTCCAATTACTTCCTTTAAGATTACGAGTTAAAATACTTAAACTCGTCCTTCTACTTAATTCGAGTAAAGCCCCCAGATGCACTGCCTGTGCTTTAACTTTTCGTCTGTTTCTCGAAAATTTTTATGCGATGTTTAAGTTCTGATAGCCTCGAAAACTTCCATCACTCAGAGGTCACTCCAGCACCTTCCGAGCCTTTTATATTGTTACGTTCTTTGTAACTTTTGTTTATTGTCGCAAAAAGGATATCTGTCGTTCGTGTGCCTCTTTGTTGCGTTTTCTTTATTATGGGTGTTTGGCTGTGCTACTGTTTCGTGGAGCTCTATTTGCAAGGTGGTTTAGTTTTTAACATGCTAAATTTCTTGTTTTTTTAATACTTTCGGTGTTTAATAAAGAACTCTATTTCGTGGTAAGCTTCGTCTAATGACATTTTTCCGGATTGCTCTTTCGATTTTGTTTGCATAAAGGGATTATGGTAGAGGATCATGAACCTGAGTGGCTTGTAGATTTGCATTGGTCCTTCACGAATTTTAAAAAAAAATGTCTGTTGACAATCTTTGTGTAAGAGCCTATTTTTTATAAAAATTGTGTTATTTACGGCCTCGTCCTAGTACTTCTTTTCGAGCCCTGCTACTTTGGCTCTAGCTCACTTGGCTCGCTTTCGCTTCTGTGTTATTTCAGTCTATAGTACTAGTACTGTTTTCTAGTATCTACCTGACTGATCTAGCTTGTCTATGGTATGGGTACTCTTTTCTGGTACCTGTGCCTAAAATACTAGCGTGGTTACTATACTATGGTAGATACTAGGTACTAGTACTATATATATAAGCGCGCGCGCCCTTTGTTTTAGAATACACTTTCTCATGTTGGAAAGTCTTAGTATTGCTTGTCGGCTGAACATATTTTTGCGTGTAGTATATATTTGAATTTTTATGTTTAACATACCATTTAAACGCCCCCAACAGGTAAATTCAATTACATTGTCCACCCTGAATGAAGACAGTATGGATGTTATTTTTTTTTGTTCTTTAGTTCTCTTTTGGTTTAGGAGGGAATAAGGGTTAAGCTTTAAAGATGTGCTATGCATGTTAACTGGAGTATATCAGTGACAAATATTTAAATAAATAAGAAAATTGTTTAAATAGTCTTCCACTCTATAAATAGCTACTTGGTCTATACTTTTGTTTTTAAAAATATATATAAATACCTTCAATGTTTTAGCATTAGTATTAGATCCCTTGTATTGCCGGCAATGTAAAGTACTTCGTCCTTCCTGGTATTTTGTCTGTTACTATTCCTGTTAAATTTGTATTACGTTCATTGGTGCTAATAAAACGTATTTTCATAATAAAGAGAACTTAAATTTAAAATGTAAATAAAAAGAAATTAAAAGTAGAGATCTATTTTTTATATATTTACTTAAATATAAGATTAAATTCAGTGGGTAGGTATCTATAATAAATAGGATTTGTCTGTTTAAAACTAGAATTTTTAAAGATTTTTGTAATTTATTTGTAATTCTGCAATATCATATTTAACTTTGCGTTTGTGTAGTGTGTTACATGATATGTATGGTGTTTTTCAACATTGTACTGATTCTAGTAAAAAGAGGACTCAAAGCGCTCTGTCATCACCACCGCACACTGCTACGGACCTATTTGCGCTGCAAGCGGGGGTTACCATACTCTTTTCTGGTACGAACATAGGAAGGCACTCGCTACAATGACGGTAACGCACTTTGAAACACGTAAAGTTTAAATAGCAGTAGTTTTAAGATTATATCAAAGTAATATTAAGATAAGTTAATAATGGAAATTTTATTACGAAATAGACATGATATTCTTTAAAAAACTTCGCGCTGGCAAGCGTGGATAGTATTATATCAGACTGAATATTGTATTATATTTGTATGTATATTATTCACTATCACTAACCAAAACATTAATTTATACGACTAGTATAACCGCGAAATGTGGGATAAAATTTCAACATCAGGTGCACTACTAACCAGAAGTTTATTATATTTATAGTCTAGTATTATTGTAAATCTTTTGCATCTCTAAGAACTAGTCATTAAAGGTGGATTACATATAAAGATTTCGTAAAGAAAGTAATTAACAAAAGCCAATACTTTCGGAGGTAATTGTAACGAGACTAAAATACCAAAACGTAACCGAACAAAAATAGATATTCTGAAAAATTTACTATTTTATTATTTTACTGTAAACAAGCACTGGCATTTCCGTTAAACAGTTTCTTATTATAATCATGAAGTCCAAACTAATAATTAATAATCAGTTAGTCTTTAAATGTAAAGATTTCAAAAGTCCCATTTCGGTGCAATAAAACTTGTAAACTCGATCATCGGGAGGATAGAATTTAACAGCTTTTCCTTCTCTTTCACTTCCGTTCCATTCAATATCAAGCATTCCTGCAAAAATTAAAAATTAGTGCAAAGTTTGAGTTCCGCAGCGGTTTAGTACCTTCCATTCCTACAAAAAAAGATTTTAATTTTTGAAAAGCTTTTCTTTTTTCATCTTTAGATAAAATTTGGTAATCTTCTAAACTTTGTAAGTGCAAAATTGGAAGTAAAACCTAAAATTAAATTTTTTTTAATCACGAAAAAGACACGAACATCAGGTTCACGCTATTAAAAGCTTTTAAATTATTTAAAAGTTTGCAGTAGATTTACCAAATAAATTTTAATTTTTTTATAATTATTAATAAATAATAAATAATTATGTAGAGCCTATACTAATTGTATCAAAATCTCATAAAAATAGAGATAATTTACTATTTAAAAAGTGAACATTTTTATCCAGTTCCACTGGTATTCTTCCGGTTCCATCATCAAATAAACCTTTCACTACCAAATTCTCTTTATCAAATTTATTTATTAGGGAAACGAGATATCCCTTATATATTCGTAATAATAACATTAATATTAATAAATAGTGAAACTAAAAGATTTTTTAAAATCAATTAAATTTATCTATAGATGACTTAGATATAGTAAACGTGTGGATCAAAAAAATTAAGTTAGCAGGCACCTTTAAAGAGCAGAGCTGATCACTACTTTCTTCTAGAAGTTTAATTATAAAATTTAGTTGTAAGGAAGGTCGCTGCTTTATAGTAAAGTCCTCCACTATAATTAAGTCATCATCGCTTTCCACGTTAATTAAACAAGTATTAATAATATTATTATTGTGTTCAGGAGGCCTTTTGTGGCGTAAATTTTCGTCAGAAGCAAGGTAGCCTCTTTTAAAGAAATTCCGCATCAAATGTTCCTTTTGTTTTTTCTTTTCAATTCGTGCGAGTCTTTGTTTTTCCCTTTCAGTCGTGCAGTCTATAAAGCTTTCTTCACCTGAAAGGAAATTAGAGTCGAGGATTTCCAATTCAGGAAAATCTTTTGAGATTGTTAATAAATTAATTTGCTCTTGCTTCTTTTGTAGGCATTTTTCTCGAAAACAGAAGGAATCTTGACTGGCTTTAGTGAGAATTAACGAAGTGTCTTGGTTAACGAAAGGCTGCTGTTGTGCATCCAATTCCAAAGATCCCGAGGAACGAGAAGAATGAGAAGCGGGTAGGCTGAAGTAAAATAAGATATAAATAAGCTTTATAAAATAATTGATGCTAAATAAAATTAGACCCTAAAATTTTAGCCAAGGAATTTAGAAAGCAGTAATTAGTAGAAAGTTCGGAGACCACACCGCCCAGAATACTCACATCTTCTGGTTTCAGCCAGATGATTCCAAAGGAGAGAACAGAATTTTCTAGTCTTACCTTTTTTAGTGTAAATTATAGTACGGAAAACCAATCGTAAAAGTAAATTTCATATAATCAGTAAGTAACGTTTGTGAAAAACAATAGCCAAGTTTGCTATATGTATAAAAAAAAATTTAAAAAGTGCACTACGAATTAAAATATAAATAATTACTTTAGATCCTGGTAGTGTAGTCTGCAAAGAAAATCCCATAATAGGAACTTTTTCCGCTGCAAAAATCTTCTATTATAAATTTTAAAGGAAATATGACTTTAATAAAATATTTTTTATCTCTTAATGATTTCCTTTTTTTTTACTTAGAATTATATTAGGGTCAAGATGAGAACTTTTTTTTTTTTAAATTTTCAAAAAGAATAAGTCAGAGATAATAGTACCTGTACCCCATCAGTTAAGGTAAATTTTAACATTCGCACGACAGCGCCATCGTTACCAGCATTATTGCTACTATTTGGTTTACCACCCTCAACTTTATTTTTGCTATTTATCTTAATGACTTCTCTGTTATATTGAGAAAAAACCGATTCACTGATATCTTTAATATCTTCAATTTGTAAAAAGAGAGCCGACGAAAAAGAGTACAATTTCTTCTTGGGGATATCTTGAGGTATACAAGGCTTACTACTAACACGGAGATCTGCAGTAAAACAAAGTAATACTTTAAGCAGTAAGTTGGTATATAAGAAAATTATTGCTACCTGTATTTAACCATAACATATATATATCTTCCTTAGAGTCCTATAAACATAATATTATTATGAAAGGTTTGAATGATATAGAAACAATGAGAGTCGCCAAGTAAATGAATACCGCTGATATAGATTGCAACCATTCCTCTTTTAAAAAGTTGTAATCTTCTCTTAGCCATAAGTGAAAAAACTCCATAGATTTCTTTAAGTCTGTCTGAGCGCATTTATTAAATAATCTTGATCAAAGTCAATGGGGAATAATAAAAAATTGAAGAAGAGACTATGAAGTCCACACATAATGAACAATATTCTCAAATACAGAATTATTATCGAAATACCCTCGCTCTTGAAGTTTTTCTTTTCCCACGCTACTTTTTCATCTACCGTTTAACGGGTCGGTGGAACGTATGACTACTGCTGAGAATAGCTTGTAATGAAAGTGATTCTTACTATTGCACTAATTAGTTAGCGTAGCATTTACCAGGGAAATAATAACAGTTGTTTTCAAACAAGCGCAAACTAGTCTTTTGCCTACCCTCGTTTACTTAATAGTAAGGAGGACAGCCATAGCTATACAGACCGAGGGGGTAAGAGAGCAAGGATGATTGCGCAGCTCAGCCCGCTAGTCGTCACATCCTTGATGAAATATCAAGCCGGGCACCGTTACTTGGATCACTCTACTCACCGAAGACATCCTATTAAATTTGGCGCGTCATTATGGTAATTACAAAGAAAAGTACTTCGCTCACCGGAAAAATTGCTATTTTAGTATGTCATCAAAAGCCGAAGGTTAAGATTCATTTACAGTACGAACAAAGCTTACAGCTACGATTGAGACGTCTCTATCCCATGAATATCGCTTCCGTGCGGCTCACTGCTATTACTCCTGCACATAGCGCTCACATTCACTTCACACTCTATGCTGGTGGCTATGCAATTTACCAGTTGTCGAAGACCCCAACTACTACGATAACGGTTACAACTTCACTAACTGATTCTAGGCCATGGATAGTATTTAGCAACGAAAAAAGAGGAAAGCGTTGTGAACCTATGTATGAGAAGACGGCATTACACCACCTCGAAGGCGCTCTCAAGCAAAACTCCTAGGCGCTATCATCGGTGCTCGACTAAACTGGAGAGTAACCTAAACGCTCTACTCTTTGCTGTGTGCGCCCTATTATGTTCTGCTTGCAAGACTATTGCTTTTACACTTCAACAAACTTTCGTCGGTTGGTTGCATTCTTGCTAACGTAAGAATCATCTAGTACAATAGTAGTATTCACCCTTTAGCTTATCTAAGTGGGTATCACATTGATGACGGTTCGGGCGTCGACCGCCGCCTAATCTTAATATTCATCCGCGAACTTCAAATAAACTTAAATTCGTGTAGAACAACTTGCACAGAGTTTATATGTCTTTCCCGGGTGTTTACTATCAGCTTCACTAAGGTTTATAGGTTTGTAATTTAGTTAACTTCCTAGTCCTGAAAAAAAGCGGTACTTTTTTTTTTTGTTAACAAAAAATCACTTAATGGAACTTTAAAAATAGGTGTAAATGCTTAAAATAGGAAGGATAACGCTAGTGTCGAATCAAAAGAGACACATGACTTATTAAAAAGCTAAAAAATAATAATCCGTGCTGCATATTCCTTTTATTATCTTATACTATCTGCATACGTGCATATTAGAAGTTCAGTTCTTCCATAAAATTCTGAAATGCAGTTTTGCGCTGTTGAGTTAAAAAGGGGAGATTTCCCCGGCTTGCCGTTATTGAAAATAAAACTTTTATTACTAGATGTATAACCTTAAGACAGTATTATATAAAACATTACCTTTGCAAGCGCTCAGCTGCGCCAACTTTTTGTATTTCCTTTCCAAACTCGTACACGTAGCTTGCTATTAAGCGATTCTCCAGCGTTAGTCTTTTTTTGCATTTTTCATACTCCGCCTATTATAGTTAACGACATTAATTTGAATAATCTACGAGTACTTTCCAGCATACAAAAAAAGTTAAACGTTATATTTCACTTCTTTATTCTTTTTTTAGTATATTATTTTTAACACTTTTGTAGTACTTGCTTAATAAGAAATTATTTTAAGCTTCTTATAGTTTTCATAACTGCTTAATCAATTAATGTTGCGCCAAGACACCATGCTTAACCAAATGATATTTATAATAAACTCTGAAGCGCACTATGGATCATAACAACAATGAATAATTTTTTGTTGATAAGGGAAATCCGATTCCCAATGACCTTAGCGGCTGATAACTGATTCTCCTTTTCATTAAGTTCATTTTGCAGAGATCTTATACTTTCCTGAAAATCAGAGCCGACGCCCAATTCTAATTCTTTCTGGAATTGCTATTATTATTACAGTTAAAATATTACATACGTCTATATCATAAGCTTTATAATTTTATTATTAATATTTTAAAAGCAGTCTATTAAAATATTATTGTAAAAGTAAAATATTGAAAGTTTAATTTATAACTCATTATAAAAAAAATATAACATGAGTGCAAAAGTATTCAGAATGAAAAATTTCCGTATTTAGATAAAGTTAAGTACACCAGCCAATAGTGACTGTGCAAAGCGCACTGCTTTGCTTCAAAAAAATAAAAAGTTCTAACTTCTGCTTAAGCACTTTAAAAAGGTTTTTAGTTAGTTTATAGTTTCATTTATATTATTTTTTTTCCAACTTTATAATAGAAAAATTTCTCTTTTAACATATTATTCAAAAGAAAGTTTAATAAATATAATAAAATAATCAAAATTATTATTTTTACTGATACATTATAAAAATATATGCAAAAGTTTTTTTGTAAATATATAATTCCAATTAATTTTTAAGTGGTTATAAGAAATAAAGTAATAAATAAAAGTAGAAAGGTTGGAAAAAATATATTAAAGCACACTTTTATTTTTAATTATTATTTCATTATAAAAGATAATAATAAGTAAATAAAAATATAAATATGTACATAATATACTTTTATCTTTTGTCTTACTTTTCTTATTATTTATATTATCAACGCATTCTTCTCTTAATGTTCACTTCTTTATAATATTTTTTTACGTTAAAATTATTAAAAGATTTTTAAATATATTTATTTTTTATTTTTTGTTTTATCATTAAAGGAAAGTCATTAAAATATTTGAACTTATATAAAACAATAATCTCTAAAAAACAAGACCAAACTTTTTATATACAATATTAATAATAGGTAAAATACTTTTATAAACCATAATACTATTATAACTTCTATTTTATATAATAATTTAAAGTGTAGATCTTTTAAAAAAATATTTTTTTCATGGAATAACTTTTAGAAAAAAGAATATATAATAAAACAGAATAAACTTTTCTTAGAATATATAATGATAACGAGAAAAATTAATATAGAGCAAATACTTTTATTAATATTTATTTAATATATAGTAATAATTATAAAATAAAAGCAAAATATTTATAAAAAAATTATAAAAATAAGCTATGAATTATATTAATAATAGTAAAAGTATAAAATATTTAGCAAAAGAGAGTGAAATAATACTTCATACTAATTGTATTTAACCGTTTATAAGTAAATATTTATTATAAAATATTATAATATTAAAATAGAGTATATATAATATATTATAGTAAAATAAAATAATAAAAAAAGTATATAAATCTATTGATTGTAAAATATAAAAATATTAATATAATAGAATATAATAAAAGTGATATAAAGTAAATAAGAAATAAATAATAATTGAAAAAAAGATATAATACAAGTAAATAATTATATTTGCTATATAATTTAAGCAGAATTATAATAAAAATAATAAAAGTATATAAAGTAAATATATATATTTATAATAATATATAAAAATAAATAAAATTATAATAAAATATAATACTAGTAAATAAATAAATAAATACATTTATTTACTATAAAACAACTAAAAAAATTATTATAGAAAATAAAAAAAGGGTATATATATAATTATAATATATAAAAATAAATAAAGTAGTCATAGAATATAATACAAATAAATATATTTAAATATATATAATTTACAATAATAAATATGAATAAAGTATAATCTATATCTATTTTACAATATAATAATAATAAATAAATAAAGAACAGTTACTTTTGTTATTGCGTCCAACTCGAGTTTTGTGCTATTCAAGTTTTCTTCCAGCTCTTCATTATGCGCTTTTAGTGTAGCGAGTTCGCTTTGCAAAAGGTAATTCTGCTCACTTTTTTTTTTTAGTGTAATATTGTTACGTTGTAAAAAAATAATGAAAAATTTTATCCAATTATAAAACAAAAATAAAATTATTAACAAATAATATTATTATATAATTATTTAAAAATTACAGAAAAAGTTAACTTATAGATATAGCAACAACCAATGAGCACCAGTCTTTCCGCTAAATATTTATAAATCTCCCCAGCAATTAGAGACCACAATGTACTGCGAACAACGTTTTGACCCTCATTAATAAATTTTATATCATACAACCAATAAGGTCCATACATAATGATGATGGAGTCATTGTCTTGAGTGATAAACATATCCTCAGTTACAATGTTTTTTAGTTTTAAATGGGTCAATGGAAATTTATAGGCTTAAAAAATAGCTTTCATTGTAAAAATTGTGATATAAATGATGGCCAATGGAAATTCATCAACTATAATTTATATTTTATTATAAAAAGAATTTTAAAAAGATATTAACGCTACCAAAAGTATTACACCATATAAAGAACTTTAACAAAAATAAAATATACAGATTCACTAAAAGTATAGTAAAAAAATATTATAAAATGCCTAATACTCAGTAATAAAGTGTTAATTACTTATTATATCAGTCTCTTTTTATTCTTTTGAGTTTCATTAATATTTGGTACTTATAAAGAGTTTTAAACTACATAATATTTATAAAAAAAGGTTTTTTTTACTCCAATGCAAAATATAATAAAAACTATTTTTCCTACTTTATATGCAGAAGCAAAAATATATATTATTAGTAGCACTAAAAATAAATCATTACTTTGTCACCTCGGCATCGCTAGATAATAGTAGACGACTTTTTTCGGCTTGCTCAAGTTGTTGTATTTCTATTTATAATACTTATATTTAATATTATAATAATAATAGAAATAAAAAATAATAAACGGCATTATTTTTATAAGAAATATTGCTGTGAAAATGCGATTAGAAGTAAACTTTTTTCACAAAAATTCAAGCACAAGCTTGAAGGCGACAGTCAATTGGTTAGAAGAGATTGGCCCGGGCGTCTCGTTAGAACGTGTAAGGGGCCTAAAGAAAGGCTAAAAACAACCATGTGCCTAGCACTGCCTTTTCTAGCTCTCAATCGTCTTAGCCTTAATGGCCGCAATTAAACGAATTTGCACCGAATAATAAATGTGGACGATTTTAAATTTATATGTGGCGCCTCTTCCCCTTATGCGTTCAACATGACAAGTGAAAATTAAAAAAGGAAAACTATTAGTTTATATAATTAAACAGTGCATTAAACTTGAAGAAGTAAAGATTCAAAAAAGAGTTTTAACTTTTAATAATCAATTAATCTAAAAAAAAACATTTACACGAAAAAGTTGCTAATAAAGATAGTAAGCCAAACACAGGCTTCCGCATAGCCTTAGTTTCAAAGCAAATTTCATAGGTGTAGAATTTATTAATGCAAGTGAAGGTTTCAATTTCAACAATAAATAATAAAACTTGTAAAATTACCTTATAAACACAGACATAATTAATAATTCGCAAAAAAATAACAAAAAAAAAACTAAAATTCATAAACCTTGTTTAAATCCCAACAAACCAGTTTTCAATAAAAAAAATATTTATATACTTTAACTCCACCATTTTTTTATATAAAAAGTATCATGCACAAAAAAACCAACAACTCGGCTAAACTATAAAGGAACTAATTATTACAAAACCAATCAATTTAGTTAATAAATGTAAAAAAAAAAGTGGATATTCAAGGCATTAAACAGTGCAATTTAAACTAAAAGGCACCAGAAAATTTTTTATTAAAAAGAAGGCGCGAAAAAAAATGATTCTTAGACAAAATAATGAATGAGAGAACCAATCAAATAATAATAAAGTGAAAATGAGGCCGTTTGTAACTATAATTTTTCGAAAAGTAACAAAAATTTCATTATTAAAAATGAAGACACGTAATAATTAAATGAAGAAACCATTTTATCAACCAATAAAATAAAAATTAAATTGTTTATTAAAAAAATGAATTTTTATTAAACAGTTTTCCGTTTACACATCAACACTTTTAATGATAAAAAAATTAATGCGATATTTTTTATAAACCAATAGAGTATTATAAAATTCATATATACGTGGAATTAAAAGCCTCCAACTTTTCCATTATATAAAAAAACGTAATAAACTATAATAAATTGCAAATAAAAAAAATTCTTATGTTAAAGTAAACACGTGACTATATACAAAATAATTAAGTCAACTTTCTTCCAATGCTTCATTTTGTGATTCCAAAAGTTTATTTTTATTGGCTAATATTAAATTGTTCTCCAATAAGTCGGAAATTTGTGCCTTTTGATATGTTATATATAATATTTATGATGAATAGAAAATTACTAAAAGTTACTATTCCACTACTATTAAATAAAAATATTATAACCAATCAAATTATTAATTCAAGTAAAAATTTTTAGAGTGAATATTAAAAATCCGAGATTATACAACAAATACTAATAAACTTTTATATATTGCTTTTTACAACTTTCACAAAATATTTATTACCATAATTTTTTTTGAAAATATTAAAAATTACGAAAAATTTTATGAATTTCAATTGTATGAAAGTTTAAAAAAAAAATAAAAACGTTTGGCAATTGCAGGAAATCCGCTTCCTCATTTATAAAAGTTCCTAGCGAACCTGGTACTTCAGAAACAGACAAGTTTGCAACGGCTTATAATAATAACAATAAATAATAATAATAGTACTAATAATAATAAAATAATAAAAATATTAATATTAATATTAATAATAACGTAAACTACAAGATTCTGCGTGTTCAAAGTGGTCCATTTTATCTTCAAGTTCGTGAATTTTTTCTACGTACTGTTGACACGCGGTTTCCAAAAAAACGATCTTATCATTGGCTGACTGAAGAGCAATTTCGACCTATTAAAAACCATTTTTTATTTTTTCACCAATAAATTATTTAAGATTTCCACAAAATTATAACAAAAGTTTTTAATAACTTTAGTAAAAACAAGAATTATAATGAAAGCCAAACAAAAAAGCAGGCACAAAGTGTACGCCACAGAAATACTCAGCGATTGGTAGAAAGCTCACTATTGGTCACGTGGGCCCCAACTTCGTGAATGCAGTTCATTAAAAAATTAATAGTGCCTTTTAGCCACCGACAAACCAATCAGTAACCACCGTGAGTTTTTAAGAAAAAAATGACTTTAAATAAAAAAATAATACACAATCTTTAAGTTTTTATAATATATATAAAGTTATTATGCAAATATTATAAAGTAAATAATAAATTATAAACTTTTGCATATAAAGTTTCTGAATCAAAAACTATTATAAAAAAATTAAAAGTTTCTTAGCCAAAAGTTGCATTACTAAGAAGTTTTAATAATAATAAAATAATAATAACTTGCTCATCATGAAGTTTATTTTGGTAAGCATCTTCACTATTTTGCTGTTCTTCATAAGCGCTTTTTATTTTTTTTATTTTTTCCTTTTTAAAAGAAAAAAAGAAAAGTAAAAAGTTGTTATTTTCATTATAGAAAATATATTATTAATAAGATATCTAAAGAAAAAAATATATAAAAAGAAATTTTGTATATAATAATTATGAAAACACTATAAATATTATTTTTTATTATAATATACTAAGTAATTATATTATCAAAAATGACACGTGTAAAGTTTTATATAAACAAAAGTTTTTACAATAAATATATAAAAAAAACACTAAAAAAATATTATAAAGAAAAAGATCTTTGTAATTTTTTATAATAACAAAAATATATTAAAAAAGTTTCATAATAAATATATAATAAAATATTTAAAAAAATTATAAAGAAATTTTTTTTTATGATTTCATAATAAATAATATTATAAAAGATTATCATAAATAATACAATATAATAATTAATAATTATTATAAAAGTAAAATAGGATTCAAAAAGTACAAGAGTACAAAAAGTTTATATAATAGACATATATTTATATAGAAAGGCAAAGAATATAGTATAAAGTAAATGTTTACATAAATTTAATACGAAAAAGTAAAAAATTATCAGTTTGTATTATTCAAAAATGGAAAATAATAATAATAATAAAAAGAAAAAATAAAGTAGATATAATAAACTGTTTAGTTTGTGTTTTATAAAAAATGAAGATAAAGTAATAATAGAGGAAAACTTTTATATCTAAATTTTCATAATAAATAAATAATAAATAAAATAAATATTTTATTAAAATGAAAAGTATTTACTTATATTAATAATCGATAACTAAATAATACGAGAATAATAAGAAAAAGAATATAAATATTTAGTAATAAAAGATAACTCGTAAATAGAAGTAAAAAGTTAATTTTTATAAATATAATATTAATACTAAAAAATTATTAATAAGTATAAATTAAAATATAAAATATAAAAAGTAAATAAAATAATAAAAGTATTATTTAATAATATAAATAATGATTATATTGATACAATTGTATAACTGATTTATAAAGTAAATAAAAAAATTGAAATCAAAATAAAATAAAGATATCAATAAAATATAAAAAATATTAAGAACTATTAACAAAAATAATAAAGATAAAAATTTATAAATAGATTATATTAAAATATTATAAAACCTAAAAATTAATAATAATAATAATAAAGTTATAATAGTTTATAAAAAATAACAAAATTATTAATAATTTTGAAAAGAATTATTAGTAGTAATAAATATGTAATAATAAATAGATATACACTAGTAATAATGATAAATAATAACATACTAAAGTATAACATAAACTTTAAATAAACATTTGATAATTTGCATAAAAATAATAATATAGTGAAGTAATCTATGAATTTTATATAAAAAATAAATAAAAACTTAAAAAAGTAATAAAAAATATAAAATATAATAGTAGTAATAATTATATTATAAATAAATAACTGCTTCAATAATAATACAATAATTATAACAATTATAAAAGTAATACTAATATATAATAATGTAGTAAAATGTAAAAATAGTTATAGTAAAACAAATATAAATTGAAAATATAATAAATAATTAGTAAAGTATATGAATAATAATAAATATATAAATAGTACTAAAGTATATAAATATTAAGCGTATAATAATAATAACAGCAACATAAATAATTATTAAAAAGTTTATACAATAATAGTATAAATAAATTTAATAAATATCAACCAAAAAAATAATATTATTATTAACATTTGAACTTTAATGAAAAAAATATTAACAAAATAAATAAATAAAAAAAACGTTTATACAATAAAAATATAATACTACATAAAAAAATAAATATTAATAAATTGAATCAATTTTAAGTTAATAATGATAATATTAATATTATAACAGTAATAATAACAATAGATAATATTATTATATAAATATTAAAAAAGTTTATAAAATAAAAATAAATAATAATAATTTAAAAAAGCATAAACATTAAGTAAATGATAATAATATAGTATTGATAATTATATTAAACATTAAAAGAGTAATAAAAATATAATAATAATAATGAATAAATAATAAAAAGTTGATGTAATAAAAGAAAACAATATAGAAATAAGCATAAATATTAAGTAAATAATAATAAATATATTAATTACCCTTATTTTAACATTAAAAAAGATAAAAAATAATATTAAATAACTAAATATTAAAAATTTTATATAATAAAAAAGAAATGTTACTATAAGAATAAGCATAATTATTAATAAGTTTTTTAAAAAATATAAATAATATATTTACTTTCAAACTTTTATTTTCACTTTCAAAATATTGACTGTTTCTTTCTGATTGGTTCAGCGCTTCCTTCAACGTTTCAAGCTGTTATTATTATTAATGTAAATAAAAAAAGTTTTCAATAATAATAATATAAAAAAAAAGTAAAAACTTTATATATGCATCGTCCTATTAGTTAAGATTATTTTAAATAAAAAAGTTTCCCGTAATATTAATATAAAGAAAAGTAAATACTTTATGTATTATTTAAATAGTTAAGCAATAACTAAAAGAGAAGTTGTATAAAATATAAATATAAAAAAAGCATAAAAACTAAAGACTACATAAAATATTAATAAATATATATATAAAGCCAAACATCATAACAATTACATTTAACTTTGAATAATAAAGGAAAAATAACAAAATAATAAGAAAAACTTTTTGTATATATAATTAAATAAACAACTTTTATATTTATATTACAAACAACAATATTAAATATAATAATAAAGTATTACTTTAAAATAAATATAAAAAGTATAAATGTAATAAAATGAAAAATTTTCTAAAAAAAAAGAAGGAAAAATATTTTTATAACAAAAAAAGTAAAAATACACAAAAAACTTATTTAAATATAACAAGAAAACAAATTTATCAAAAATTCTTATAAATTTTTCTAATAATAAATGTGAAAAGTTTAAATGAAATAAACTTCATCACGATTAAAAAAAATGAAACTTAAAAATAACAAATAATTATATAATTAAAAAAAATATTAAAAAAACATTTATTAAAAATAAAAATTATTAAAAAGTTTTTTCACAAACTTAAATATAATATTTAAGTTATAATAATAATAATAAATATATTTAAAAATTAATAAAAATTTATTATTATAACTTTATTGCAAACATCAGAAGAATGCAAAATAAAAATTATAATAAAGATAAAAAATAAATAAACAATAATAAATAAAACTTTTTATAAATATACACAACTTTTGTTCTATAGCCGACCAACTGGCGCTCAAGTTTCTGAAGTTTTTCAGTATTATGACTAAAGAAAAAAGTAAAAAAAGTTTAAATAAAAAACTTTATTATAAAGGTTTTCCTTAAAAAAAAAAAATTATAAAAATATAAAGAAAAAGAATATAAAAAAGTGTAAAAAGTTTATACAAAAAACTTTATTATAAATTATTATTAAAAAAAAATTATATAAAGAATAAAAAAAAGTTTTACTAAAATTAAAAAAAAATTATATAAAAGTAAAAGTGAAAAGAGAAAAAAAAAGTATAAATAAAAAAACTTTATAAAAGTTTTACTAAATATATAAATAAAGAAATTAAAGAATAAATATATTTATAAATATATAAGAAAAAGAAAAAATGTATAAAAAATTATATTAAATATATTTTATAAAAGTTTATAAAGTTTTACTCAAATAAATGTATAAAGGAAAAGTAAAAAAGTAAAAAAGGTTATAATAATAATTTTGATAATAAGTTTTACTTACATAGAACAAAAAAAATGGAAAATAAAGGAAAAAAGTTTAAAAAGTTTTAATAATTATGCAAGTTATACTAAAAAAAGGGAAATAATATATTAGAGAGGAGAAAGAAGAAAAGTATAAAAAGTTATAATAAAAAAAGTTTTTTTTATAAAAGTTATAAAGTTTAAAATAAACAATAAATTTTAAATAAAAGTTTTACTATACAAAACAAAAAATACAAAAAAGAAGAAAAAGAAAAAAATATAAAAAGTTATAATAATAAAAAAATGATTTATAGAAGTTACACAGTTTAAATAATAAAACTTTACAAAAGTTTTAATAAACAAGAAAAAATACAATTAAAAAAAAAAAAAAGAAAAAGTATAAAAAGATATAATAAAACATTATATTCTATAAAATTTTTAAATTTTGAATAATAAAACTTTATAAAAAATTATAATAAGAAAATTATACTTATAAAAGTTATAAAGTTTAAAATAAAAAAAAACTTTTAAATTTAAAAAAAATATAAAATAATTAATTATGATCGAAAAATATTTAGTAAAAAAGTTTTACTGGGAAAGACTTGCTTTGTCCTTCCATTCTTGCAAACTCCTTCGCAATTCCTGTAAATCTATTAACTTTAAAATATTTTTTTATAAAAAACTATTTATCTTCTCGATAAATATAAGAAATCATAATATAAAAATAAATATTTGGTTAGAAAAATAATAAAATTAATATATTTATATTTTATTAACTTTAATATATTTTCCATATATAAACCTTTTACTTTCTTATAAAATATAATAATATTCATTAAGATATAGATAGAAAAAATATATTTCTATATTATATACTTTGAAAAAATTTTAAAATAAAAACTTTTTCCTTTCTTAAAAAGTATAATAAATAATAGTATAAAGATAAAAATTTAGTATAAAGAAAAATAGATTATATTTATATATATAAACCTTATAATAAGCTTATATAAAGTTTTTCTTAAAAAAGTTTTTGTAAAAATAAATATAATAATAAACCTTTAATAAATATATATTAGTAGCAATATTGTTATAAATGATAGTAAAACTTTATATTAAATTATAAAAGTTATAAACTTTTTATATAAAATTTTTATAGAGCAGGAAATATTATAAAATAAAAATAATTAACTTATAAAAATTTTTAGAGTAAAAAAGATTTATTACAAATATATTAAAATAAAAAACTTAATATTAATATAATAAAAGCTAATAATAACATTACAATTTTATTATTATAATAGTAATACTATTAATATACAAAAAAATTATAAAATAACTAAAAAATAATATATTGGAAGAAATAATTATAATATATTTTAGTTAAATTTAATAAAATAAAAAAAATAGATATATAAATTCCAACAGTACTAATAATTATATAAGAAATAATCAAAAATATACTAAAAAAATAAAAAAATGGAGTTAATAATTATTATAAAAAGCAAAATACTAAAACAAAAAAAAAATTATTTTAATAAAAATTAATAATATTATAATAAAATGGTAAAATAAATAACTAAAAACAAGAAATTGTAAAAAATAATTATAATTAAAAGTATAAAATAATTCATAATAGTAATAATAATATAAAAAATAACTAAAATTTAATAAATTAGAGTATTTTAGTAAAAAGATAATTAAATAAAACAAAACTTATAAAAAATTCATAGTAATAATAATCTTTTAAAAAATAACTTTTTATTATCCTTTAATGTTAAAATTAAAATTTTTAATAAAAATTCATAATAGCAGTAATGACCAAAAATATAATAAATAACTCTAAAATGATAATAAATTGTAAACATTAAATTAAAGTTATAATTTCTTATCAATTATAATAATAAAAAAATAAATTTGACTAAAATTCATAACAGTAGCAATAATAATAATCTTTTAAAAATAACAATAACTTTATATATTCTTTCAAAGTTAGAACTTTTTATTTTTTAATTTTTTTCTTTTTATAAAAGTTTTTTTATTTATATTTTTAGTACAATTATTTTTAAAAGAAAATAAATTTTTTATAATTATATATAAATAATTTTCTTACGAGCTCAAAAATTTTGTTATACATTTCAGATGGATTGTTATTTAATTATATTTATTTAATGTAATATTAAAAGTTTTTTATTAAACTTTTAGATTTTTTTATGGGTTAAAGACGTTTTTCTATAGCCATTTATATAAAAAGTGTTCTACAATTCAAAAAATCATAGAAAAAAAATACTTCATATTCAAGACTTTTTTTTTCTTCTTTCAATTGAATATTTTCAGCATTTTTCTTTTTTAATTCAAAATCTAACGATCCCAATTCCTCTTTCAACTGCTTTAACTCTAAATTCGCTGCAAACTTCACAAAAAAGGTAAAAAATATATAAATTCTAATATAAAAGTTTTCGTCATCCTTATTATTTTATCAGAATTGCATCCTTTTACCAATTGTAATATTATTATGGGAAAATATATTATTTCTAAACTTTTTTTAAACTTCATTATTTTTTATTCAAGTTTTCAAATAGTTTTTATTATATATATTTATTGTAATATAAAAATTTTAATAATAGTAATAGTACCACTGCTTTACCAGGAATTGTATGAGTTTCAAGATTGTGGCAATCTTTTATTTCGTCCTTCAAATCTTCCAGTGTTTCTAATAAATTTACAAAATTTAAGTTTTATTATATAAACTAGGCGAGTTTCTATAAACTTCTTTTACTATTTTAATATATTATTGATAACTTTTCTATTTTATAATATACCCTAAATAAAGAAATTTATCATTTAATTCTTATATTAAATGAATAAAAGTAAAAAAAATCCAATTAGCTGTTAATTTTAATAAAAAGATATTTTTTTTAAAATATATTTTATATTATATTATTTACTAAAAAAAGATAAATAATAACTATATAAATATAATAAATTTCTAACTAATTTAGTATTTTTTTTATTTATAAAAAAATAGTTTTACGTAGAAGTAAATTTTCTATTTAACTTTAAAAAATCTTTCAGTTTTTAAAAAAATTAGTTCTAAATAAGTTTTTTATATTTAAAAAATATAATGGAAAAGGATATTAGCTGTTAATTTTTAATAATTACTAAATCCTTTACTTTATTAAAAAATATATTTGAAATTTTGTAATATAAATTGATCTAAAAATTTAATAAATTTTTTTAAATTATTTTATAAATTTTTTTATTATTATATAAAAATAATTCAAGTGTGCTTATAAACTTTTCTATAATTTATAAATTCAAAAAATTAATATTGAGGTATTTTTAAGTTTCTAGTTAAAAAAGTTATAAATAAAATCTTTTTATATGAAAAATATATAATAAATAGTAAAGTTTATAAATTATAAAACATTTACGTTTTAGATTAAAATTCTCCACTTTTAAGTTTTCAATACTTTCTTGAAGGAAATTTTCCTTCTCAACAGAATTCTTATTTTAATAAAAAAGTAATAAAAAAACTAAAAATAGAAATGTACTTTGAAAGTTTCACGCGAATCAGGAACCGTCAAAGCTAAAAAAAATATTAAACAGTAAAATTTGAAAACATAATAATCTAAATTTATAATAAAATCTCTTAAAAGTATTAATACTTCTTTCATTATAAAGAAATTATAGTATAATATAATCTTATTAGTAGAAGTAAATTTAATTCTGAACTCATAAATACAAATATAAATTTGAGAAAAAATTTAATTCTATAAAGTAAAAAATACAATGACAACAAGTAAAATTTTATTTCTCAATATTAAATAAAAATTTAAAAAAGTATAATTGTTATAGAAAAAGTGTTAAAGTTTAGTAAAATAAATAAAATTATATAAATAATAATAAGTATATTTTCCCCCCATTCTTAACTTTATAAAAAAAAGTAATTTTTTTTTTTTACATTTTGAAGACTTTTACATAAAAAGTTATTTCGTTATTAACAAATTAACTTTTTTAAACTCTCAAACATTTTTTAATAAAATATTTAAAAGGTTAATAGTATCACAAGTAAAAAGTAATATAAAATTCCTTAAACAGAAGTTATTTAAATTTTCAATATTAGTTTTATATGAATCGCTATAAACAAAATTTTTACTTAACAAATTTTTTTATAATATTTTTTATATAAAAATAAAAAATAATATGATTAGATGTATTATTTTTAAAAAAAAAATAGGCAAGTAAAAATTGACCTGTTGAGATTCTTAAAAGAAATTATTATAGTTATTAGAAAATTATTTAATAAATAATTTTTTTTTAAGCTGAAATGAATATTAGGTTAAGAAAAAAGTAAACAAAATTTATTTACAAAAGATTTTATTTTAAAATTTTATTTTAAAAATTAAAAAAGTTGCTTTTAGTTTTCTCAAAAAATGTATTAAGCAAATTATCCCTTGAAATTACTATTTTTTAAAAAAATTATAAATATTAAAATTGTCTAAAGTAAATTATTTATTGAATTTAATATTTTTCTGTTAATAAAAATAGTAATCTGTTAAGACTTTTTGAAATATATTGTTAACCGCAGTAATATATTTTTTTTAATATAAATTTTTAATCCATTAAGATTGTCTGAAATAAATTATTTATTGTAATTAATATTTTTCTTTTAAATATAATAGTAAATTATTAAAACCGTCTAAAGTAAATTATTTATTAAAATTTATATTTTCCTGTTATAAAAATTAAAAAACTATTAACGTTGTCTGAGGCAAATTATTTATTATTATTAACATTTTTCTTTAAATAAAATCTAATTCCATTAGATTGTCTGAACTAAATTATTTATTGAAAATAATAATTTTTCTTTAAAAGAAAATAATAATTAAAACAGTCTAAAGTAAGCGAAATTATAATTTTTCTATGAAAAATAATTATAAATTAAATTAAAATAATCAACAGTAAGTCTCTTTATAATAACTTCTGCTAGACTTCCATGTTGATAAAGTCCTTAAATATGTAATTTTCCTATTTTTTAATAATTTTAGTGATTTAAAATTCTTATAATTTCTTTGCATTAATATTAACGTGCAAAGCCTCAATCTTCAATAATTATGAAAAGGCCCAACTTAAAATGTTGAAGTGAGAAGGATTTAAATGTTCAGTAAATATACTCGGAAAAAATAATGTAAATTTCAAATAGAATTTTATTAATCCTTTCCAAAAACTACTTTTGATTAGAAAGTAAATAGTTTTTTTAAATAATTATACTCAACTAGTATTTACTTTCTAAGAAATTCAAAATCAATTTTAGTATAAAAATAGAAACCTAATTGAATTTTTTTAAAACTTTTATAAATTATTTAATATAAAAATTAGACCGTAGCTTTACATTAATTTTATATAAGAGATAATTTTAAATAATATAAAAAGTTATAAATATAAAATTTTATAGCATCTTTTATAATTAAATTAGATTTATTAATTGCTTACGATCTTCACTATTTAAATCGACCAGTGAAGGGTACGAGGAGAGCATCTAGGTTTAAAATAAGCGATATTACATTAAACAAAGAAAATAACGTACTTCTTTTGTTATAGACATTATACTGCTTTGAACAGATCTTTCCGTTGCTAAAAGTCTACTAATAAATTCTGAACAAAAATTGAAATAGTAAAGGATTTTAAATTAAAGCATAAACTTTAAAACTATCGTTAAAAATCAAACATTATAAAAATTAAAAATAAATTTATATGGAGTAAAGCTCTAGCAATTTTACATTATTATAATAATATAATTACAATTTAGAATCCAAGTTATACACTACAAAGTAAATGGACAAATACCTTCCCTTCTATCGCAAAACATTACACAACAAACTACTAACTTTATGAGTTTCAGTAATTCTTGTGGATCATTTTTTTCAGAAATAAGGAGAATGTTAGGAAGATGCCCTTCTTTAATGGTTACATGAAAGTTCTAGAAAATATTAAATGAAAATAAAAGTCATCTTTAACAATAACCTGATAAAATTTACATCTAAAAAAAAATTTAAAAGACTTTCTAATAAAGGAGTGAGATTGCTTTGCTTTAGTAGAGAGTCCTTTTGAGCGTTATATATTATTTTGGTCTTATCGAAATGTTTCGGGCTTCTAGTAAAAGTATATAGGTTTTGCATAAATATAAAGATCAATAGTAAGCCTTACTAAAAAGTCAATTGTATAAGTTAAGCTGAGAAAAAGTTAGAAGTTCATTGCAAAGTTTTTGTCTTTATAATTGGTAATACAATTTTTAATCTTTTTTATATTAATATAAAAGTAATGTTTTAGTAACATACGCTTCAGCAGCTAGATGGAAGAGAGCTACTCCATCACTTAATTGCTCTATTGAGTTAACAGGTACTTCAATACAATTGTTCGCATTCAACTTTTTAATCCTTTAAAGTTAAAGCTCTCATAGAAACATAAGTATTAAGTAAAGGTTATACCCAAGTAAGTAAGCCCTCCATAATAAATTATATTCTCGACTAACGCTGATCTAAGGAGAATAAATGAAATAAATAATATAAAATTCTATTAAGTTAAACAAACAGTAAGTAAAAGCTTCTAGGAACTTATTAATGATAATGTTACGGCATTTGAAAAAAGTTAAAAAAGAAAAAACGAAAATGCTTAGCCCCGGCGAGACTTGAACTCGCGACTTTAACGGTGTTAACGTTACACTCTAACCAACTGAGTTACGGGACTACTACGCTGGCTCCGTACAGTTTCTTAGCATATTCTTATTTAGTCTACTAAAAATTATCTAAATTGCATTTTTTTAAGCATAAATGTATTTGAATTCATTCCCCAGTTTACTTTTCGGCAATATAAGGAATATGCAACAGCATAACCACAAAATATAATTTTATTTTCAGATACAATAAAGCCTTAAACCATAAAAGTGGTTCTTAAAACTTCTAAGGACGTAGGTATGTTTAAGTAAAGAATATTACATTCTTAAAGTTTATTAG